GAAGTACTCCACTGCAGCAAGTTGTCTAAAGATTGGAACTGTAGACCAGAAGACCAAGAAACAAAACCAATGGCTTTGGAGGTGAGAAGTTTGTGAAGCCCAAATAATGTCAAAGTCTGATGAGATTTGTTCAGGGATTGGTAATCCTTTTAACGCTGTTTGCAGGAGATAAGAGATACTGAAGAAAAAGCTATTGATGCAGCCGTTAGTGATGCTGTTGATGCTGCCGTTAGTGATGCTGTTGATGCTGCTACTGATCCACACAAAAAAGAAACCATGTCCGCAAGACCAAACTTAACCCCAGAGGGCAGCATTCTGACAGGCGAAAGGGTCCCTAATGTGATCTTGCAGGCCTCTCCTGCTGGTCATTCTATGTGGTCATTTGCCTTTCTGTTTAGGGTAGTTGTTGTGGTTGCATTCTTGTTCATAATATTGCTAGCGTATGGGGATTTCATAAGTTTTGATGCTGCTGGAAGCCCTTTTACCGCGCGTATGGCCTGAGCCCCATTTTTGAGGAGGGGGCTGTTTTGTGAGGCTCACAGGATAGATCATAGATTTGTTAGGTCTGTTGATATTTATTTTTTACGTGCTTATTTTAGTATTACTCAGATGTCGTGTGTTTATGTACAGCATCTAACAATTTTGAGGGTATTTTTCTTCCATAAATAAAATTGTGAACTCTAGTTAAGCTGCACGGATTTATTAGAAATTGTTCTTTTTTTTGGGTATAAACTGGTTGCCCTTTATGCAATTAACAACACCAGTCTAATGAGAGTGAAAAAGGAACTCTTTTTGGGTCAACAGAGTGAAAAAGGAACTTAAGCAAAAGCGTTTACGAAATTACGTCTTTTGAAAAGTAAAGTGGAGAGTGTTTTGCTACCATCGCCAAAGTAAAAGCAACGAGCTTTACAAGTGGAAGAATATTCACTTTATAATTCTACCCTTCTCTTACAAGTTACAATCAAGTCAACAGCTACTCTTGTCCTCTTTCCGACCCATATCAGTTATTGGTTTTCTTCGCAATTTCGATCATATCAACAACAAAGATGGATTCTTGTTCGATCGCCAATTTTCTGCTCGTTTTACTGCTCTCACTTGCTTCTCTTTGTCCCGTCCATGGCACTCATCAGGAGGATCATAATACGAACTATGCAAAAGAGATTCTAAGCGCAGCCCAGCAAGATAAACAGTGGTTGGTCTCCATAAGAAGGCAAATCCATGAAAACCCAGAACTCAGATTCGAAGAGTATAATACCAGTGCTCTTCTACGCAGAGAACTGGACCAACTTGGCATCTCTTACACATACCCAATTGCCAAAACTGGTATTGTTGCCCAAATTGGCTCCGGTTCAAGCCCTGTTGTCGCGCTTCGAGCTGACATGGACGCCCTCCCATTGCAAGTAAACCCCAACTTCTTTTTATTTTTTATTCTGTCAGTTTGAGAAAGTTCTTTTTTTTCTTTTCATTTTATTTTTGTGTTAATTTTATAAGCGTAGTAATTGATGGGTTGTGGGGTGTGAATTTTTAGGAGCTTGTTGAGTGGGAGCACAAGAGTAAGGTTGATGGTAAAATGCACGGTTGTGGTCATGATGCTCACACCACCATGCTTCTTGGTGCTGCTAAGTTGCTTAATCAACGGAAAGACAAACTTAAGGTCAGTTAAGTTTTATGTTGTGCAGTCTGAGCACAAGTTTCAAATTTTCTGTGGATTCAGCAAGGAAAAACGTCACTATATAATATTGATAGAATGGAATAACTGGTTCAGCTTCTTCCCGCGAAAAACCAAAGCAAAACCCTTTCAAAGCAAGAAAAATTTGCGTAAAACTTCTCTTTCATATGGTGTTGAAGGGGACAGTGAGACTTCTATTTCAACCTGCGGAGGAGGGAGGTGCCGGCGCATCTGAGATGATAAAAGGAGGTGCGCTTGGTGAAGCTGAAGCAATATTTGGGATGCACGTTGCTTATGGAATACCTACCGGAACTATAGCATCCATTTCAGGGCCACACTTAGCTGCTGTTTGCTTTTTTGAAGCCAAAATGGTCGGGATAGGCGGGCATGCTGCAGAACCCCATCTTACTGCCGACCCAATAGTTGCTGCCTCATTTGCAATTTTGGCATTGCAACAACTCATCTCAAGAGAAGTTGATCCCCTCCATAGCCATGTAAGGTCTCCCCCTCCCTTCCCCCCCCCCCCC